ATTAATTAATATTTGTGGCACATTACCAAGGAACAGTATTGGTTATAATTTTTTCAGTCATATGAGTGTATAGGTCACCCAATATGGATAAGTTTCGGATTTATATTTTGGTTTTTATTTTCCAGTTAGTTTTATTCACTTTTTTATAAATATAGTTCATTCCATAACAAAAACCTTGTTAATCCAAGTTTAAAACTTTGTACAAAAATTAAAAGCAAATCAACAAAGTTTCACCAAAGAACGTAAATAATAAGAAGGGACAACTTGTGACTTCTGCGCTAGTACGTTTTCATCAAAATTCCACACTTTTTATTATGAATAAAGTGTTTAATTTTGGTGAAACTTTGATTATCTTTTAATTTTTGTACAAAATTTGAAACTTGGATTTAAATGGTTTTTGTCATAGAATGAACTATATTTTTTATAAAAAAGTAACACTTATCCATAAGGTCACCTCTATAAGTATACAGCACACTGCATCATTTACAAACTATTTATGAAAAAAAAGTTGTATTGTTTCTTTTGGTACATTGCTGAGGAACAATATTTGTTATAATTACATATATGACTTCATATAAGGATATTATTCACAAAATTTTCTGCAGCAGCCTTAATTGCAAAGCAATGGAGTGCACTAAAACGTTTGCTAAAGCAGCCTCAATTGCAAGGCAATGGAGTGCACTAAAATGTTACCTATTCTCTAAAAGATTAGGCAAAAATGCAATATTTTCGCATTTAGCAAAATTAAAACACGTTTTTCGCTGTAAGGTGAACTGTTTTGGCAGTTTCAACTCGGTCTTCTTTTCGCTCTATTCAATGTTTACTTGTGGTACACAAATTTCAACGCCCAGGACGGCGCAATCTTGTATTATATCATTCTTGGATCGTAACTATCAACGGCGTTGCCAACTAAAATAGTGAAATTCGAAGTTCCTACTCAGCTGATTTGACAGAAACAAATCACAATAAATATACATAATCGCAAGTGAATAGTAAAATTAAAAAAAAAAAATTAGTTTAATCATTCAGGGCTATCACGGAATCCATCGTAGAAAATCTACGAATTCAAATGCCCGCAACGAATACGAAAATATTGCTATCACTGAATCCGAGTGAACTCGAAAATATCGTTGCCAGCTTCGAATGCTGATTCGAAATCAGTTAGTGCAAAGGAAACATCAGACATTTATGTATGTCATTTTGCTCACGCTACCCCATCAGGCGCAATGGCCGAGTGCAAAATGTATTCAACAAAGTGTGATTGATTTTGACATTGCTCTCATAAGAAACAGGCTATAATGTCAAATTGAAATGAGTTGTTAACCCATTTGAAAATGTGTTTTTTTTTCAAATTTGAATTAAAAAAAAAAATACACAAATTTTTCAAGCAAAGCAAATTTTCTTAATAAACGTGAAATTGTTAAGAGATAAACCGCCGAGAAGAGCAAGTAAGTACATTTAAGTTTGGTAATAAGTAAATACGTTCGACTTTGCTTAAATATTTAATGTAAGGAAACCAAGATGAAACGATGCAATAAAAGTCAGGACACGAAAATAGTGCCACTTAGTTGCGAATTAAGACGGCAGCGATGGGAAGAAAGCTTTGGTGTTGTACTACGTGATTCATCTCGCGTTTGTGAAAACCACTTCAAGGAAAGTGTTGTGAAAATCAAACACTTTCCCACGAGCTCGTTTATACCCATGCGCAGTCCCAATGCCATACGGAAAAACTGATACAAGTGAGGATTTAGTACACGATCAGGATACATTCTTTTTTGATGCCCAAACTCAAACAGGCGACTCTTTAGAATGCACGTTGCGAACAGAAATATTTCGGCTTACCGAAATAATTAAACCATGGAAGCAAGTATGGAAGAGCTTAAATTAAAACCGCTCGAAGCAAGGTCTTTAATGGAAAACTAGTTCACATGAAAAAAATTTAATTTCAAAATTGTTTGACGTAAGCTCACATATAAAATTAGTAAAAAATGTAAAATCATACTTTTATAAGTGTCGAATAATGCTTAGGATAAAAAATTGAACTATAAAAATAAACGCGCAAAAGCATAAAACTAGGACAATTAAAAACAAGAAAATTGATTAAACGATTTTATAAACAATTTGTTTTATTTTATTGACAAAATATATGTGATGTAAGTAATGTAAGTAAAACAAAACTATAATCGAAATAAAAGCCTAGGACATCAGTGCTGATAAGATATATGCATCACTAAGGGTTAATTCGTTTGTTTATACTTTTTGACATTATAGTACCTTAAAAGAGAGCCGCACTGAGTTGTCAATCACACCGTGTTTAATACACCTTGGCCGAGTGTGGAAAGCACTAGACTGCCAATTGAGAGAGCCGAGTTCGAGTCCGAGCCGTGGGGCTGTGGATTTTTTTTTCTTTTTTCATTTAATTTTTGTTTATTTTTTTAATAAATATTTTTTTTTGATTTATTTTTAGCTTAGATTTTATTATTTTGAATTCAAAAATATGTTTTTTTTTAAATAAATTTTTATGATATTAAAGTAATTAGGTTTATTTCCTAATAAATTGTTGCTAAACTATTATTTCCCCGATTCATACAAAATATTAATTTATTAAATAGCGTCTAGCAGATGAATGCGTGCATGTACATTAGAGTGGTCCAAAATAATAAAGTCGGAATTTTAATGCCGCCGCCCCCTAGGATTGTTCTGAACCGAAAATAAATATACCCATATTTTTTATTTTGAAATCAAAAAATATTTACGGAGTGCTCACAGCGCTCAAAGTTTTCCATGTTTTTTATATGGGGAAAAAACAAATTTTCGTAAAAATGACATAAAACTCTTGAAAATCAATATTTTCCAATCGTAAAACTGTGGTTCTCTTCAGGAGACTTCAAATATTGATATCCAATTGTTTATTCAACCATTTTTTGATTAAATAATTTTTATTGGTCCCCCCATTGCATTTTCAAGGACCCATAAAATATAGTCACCATGAAAAAATTGTTAAAGGAACAATTGGGTATTATTACCGGGAATCTCCTGAAGATAAGCAAAGTTTTTTGATCGAAAATTATTGATTTTCAAGAATTCTACACTATTTCTACGAAAAGTTGTTTTTCCCCATATAAAATACATTGAAAACTTTGAGGACACCCTAAATTTTTTTATTTCAAAATAAAAAAATTGGGTATAATTTTTTTTGGTATAGAACAATCGTAGGGGCTGGCGGCATTAAAATTGCGACCTTTTTTTTACATACATTTTTGGACCACTTTAATGTACATACATATGTATGTATGTATGTATGTATGGCATTGGTATTTTACGTCTACGTTTACACAAATATATGGAATTATATCAAACTAGAACAAATTTGGAGTATAATAAATATTTAATATTAAAAATAATGCAGCTTTCTTCCACTATTTTTAAGATTGAGTGATTTTAAATTTTGTTCCGACAGCATAATATCGTCGAAGAGTATCTGTACGAATCTTCATTACGAACGGATTCTGTGATAGCACTTTCGTAGATTTCACGAAAATCGAAGCTACGATGGATTCTGTGATAGCCCTGATTACTTGAAAAGACTTCCTTAATTAAGTAGAATACAAAGGATTCAGTAGCCGGTGCACTTTTGTCGCAGGAGGTAGACAGGAGATTGCTAAGAGATTGTTCTGATCCATTTAGCTTAAATGATAAAATGTAAGCTCCCTCCTTTTAAGGGCCTCCATTTCACTAGATATTGTGCCGCTTTAATTCTTGGAACGCTTTCCCAAAATTCCACCACTTCCTCTTTAGCTCCTTTTACAAAGCCTCGACCAATGTCCGGCCTTTCGCTCATGCATTCCACCAGTTTTTCGTATTGCGAGCGATTTGTTGTGATCTTCGATCTGTTAATTTTGTAAACATTTAATTTTTTTTTTCTATTCACACTTCACGCCGTTTCGCTCCGACACGAGTTGCTATTCCGACAAATACATAAATATGACAAATACATAAATATGAAAATACATAAATATGACAGCTACGTCGGATTCAGGCATACCAACATTACGAATTTCGAAGATGGCCTACGAATTTCGAAATTACGATACGACAACGCGGATTTCAGCATACCAATTATACGATTCGTAGCAAAATCGAATCTACGACGGATTACAGCATAGGGATGTATGTGTTTGTTTAATAATTAAGTTAAATTATATATTTTAATAGTGTTTAAAAAGTGAGAACAGGTGATTTAGTGAATCTTTGTCCATACAAAACGGCGAAATTTAACAAAAGTTTTTTGTTTATAATTTTTAAATGGTTAATATTAGCCTCCCCTCCGGATTGTTAATACGGGTACCGAAACGAGTCAAATGGCACCCCTCCCGACATTTTCGGACCTTTTTTAGCGGTTGTTACCCTGTACTAGAGAATTACCCCATAGGGGGCCTAGGTGGTCGGGGGCGAAATTTTTGTCAATGACGGTTCATGCCCACCGCCCCTTTAATGATCGTCCGTATTGGAAAGTTTCCCCACACCAACGATTTTTCCCCATTTTTAATAGGCTGGCCTGAGGAGCCCGGTAGTCGGAGGAGAAAGAAAAACAAACCATTGAATTCCTTGGTCTTGGCTCTTTCAAGCAGTAAAGGTAGGCCGTGCCACGCCCCCTTCATTTTTTTGTACCAGCCCCTAACACACAGATACTTTTCGAAACCCAACCCATCAGTTCAAAAAGCTCTACCGATTTCTATTTTTAGTTTTTTGTAGCGAAACGGTGCGTATCCTTTACTTGTTCCTTAAATAATAAAAATACTTTAAACAAAAGTGTGGTCCTTTAGCAATGTGTGTGCATGTGATAAACATTAAATTCGGTCCACCGATTTTGACGTAATATGTGAAACAAAATCGGCCGTAAAGGAGAGCCAACCCTTCATTTGTACCTTACTATGCACGTATTGAATTGGTCACAGGTCATGTGAACGCTGAATGATAACATAATTTTTCATACATACCTCCATAGGTAATTCACCATAACTAAGTGTCGAGCTGCTATACTCTTTATCATTGTTTTGGATTGTTCCCATTTTATGAACAGAAAAGCGCTGTTATTAGTGCAGTGTACTGATCAAAATCTTTAGTACTTAATTTATAGAAATATTGCATGAACGAAAGACACAAGATCACGTAAGAACAAGAGAGTGAAAAAAGTCGATTTTTTGCGGGTTCTACGCCATCTTGTTTCACTGGAAAACGAGCGAAAAGTAAACAAAGCAAAGAAAACAACGAAAACCAAAATTATTGTCAGCCACTTTAAACGCACAATTTAGGTAAAATGATCAACAAAATGCTTCAGAATGTGTTGTCATGTTGAATTAACTCTTCTTTACTTGAATAAAAATGTAAAATAGTGGTGCTTGTGATGTAAACAAACGCTCAGCTGACGAACCCGCTTTCGCAAACTTTTTTCTCAAAACCAGTTACAAATACAACGTCGCGTTCTTACGTGATCTTGTATTTTTGGTTCATGGAAATATTCTGATTAATTTTATTTATAGGGCATTCGCACGTCGCGATTTTCAGGCAACTTTTAGTTGAAAGCAAAAATCGCCTCGTCCGAACGGCCTTTCAACTAATCGCTTTCAACAAAGTTGGTCGCCAGCCAACTTCGAGCTCGTTCAACTTTTTTTCCTTGCAACCCTGTGTTTGTTTACATTCTGTATCAGTGTTGGGATATGAATTGTTCCTTCAGTACGAAATCTATACAAAAAATGTACTTTTCGGCTATAAATTGGATACACTTTTTAATTCGCTCATATATTTTCTTAGTACATTCCCTTCAAGACCTATGATTTTATGGTATTCATGAGAAAGTTTTATTGTTTATGTACATACGTTTACGTATTTTACACTTTTACAAATTGATTCCACGTGCACATGTATTGCATTTGACGCAAAATATGTATGCACACATTTTCAGGTATACATCTTAACAAAAAGCATATTTAAGTTATTATTAATGGATAAAAGAGACATTTTCTTTGGATTCAGTACTAAAATTTTACATTTTAATAGAATTTCAAGGGCTTATCAAACCTTTACGAGAAGATTTGACCATTTATCTTAATATTAATCAATTTTAATTATTATTTGTAAAAATACGCTTTATATTTTAAGAAAAGCCGTACAAATCCAAGGTTCAAACTTTGTGCAACAAGTGCGCGCGTGGTTTTTATTACAAAATGAAAGGAACAATTACGATGAAGTCTCCTTTAACAGTTTACATTTTAAATATTTTTAATAAAAAACGGTGCCAACCACGTAAGTAAAAAAAGTACCAAGCACTGATAATGGTTTTTTGATTTGAAATGTTATAACATTGGTATAAATATGGGAAAGAAAATACTCCGATTTATTGTTTTAATATTATCAAAGTGGCAAGGCCGTTGAGTATACTCACAATTTATGAAACTTCAAAAAATTTTATTATCCGTCAAAAGTTGTTTATTGAAACTACCTTCTTTTTTGTATCATGCGTTGTTTTTGCTTTCGAATGGTGAAACTCATGATTCAATAATACAAGGTTAGATAATTATTGACAGCTGCGGTTTGACACTCCCTTACAAAAGGTTGCCTTTACGAAGGACGGAGAAAAGGGGAAGAAATCTTTTGGTACGAAAATGGTAGTAGAAAAGTACGCAAAGTAGGCAATTAGTAGTGAAATTCCTTTTGTAAATTATAGGCTGCATTTCTTTATTCATTCTGAACGTTTGGAATAAACTTTTTCTTTATTTATTCTTTAGAACGTTCCTGATGATATGTTGACGTATATTTCAAACGCATTCTGTTTATTCCGGCTGTGAAATTGGATTATCCGGAATGTATAAAGAAACGCAGCCATAATGTATTTGCAGGAAATCTGGCATTTTAAACGAAATGTTGAACGTAATATTGATGTATCTATGTGAATTACGTAATTTATGTGCTATTTAGCTGTATAAAAACTGCAAAATAACTCAAAATTAAAATAAGACTACCATGAGATTGATGTAAACATCCAATTTAAAAAAAAATTATGTTTTCATCAGTTAAATATGCTTCATATGCATATACAAATAAACATATTGCACAAACGCTCATACTTCTATTTCAAAGCTACACTGTTTCCATGTAAATGTGCGAAGAAGCAACACGGTGCCACTGCTAAGGGAGCGGTGCGAGAGAGACAACTGTCAGTTTATCGAACCTTGTATTATTGAATCATGGGTGAAACTTATGTATCTTGGCAAATTTAAAGATTTTTAAAATATCGTGGCAGTTACTACATACATTCCTAGCATTTAAATTCGGTTGGCGGTACAAGCGTTACTCAGCGCCCAAAATTAAAGAAATAATAGACATGACACCGCTATATGATGTAATACACTGTATGACGACGGATACTGTGGTGACCCTCAGATCATTGTATAGGCTTACACGTATGGAAAGCGCCATTTTGTTTGTTTACATTTGAAAACACCTGAGATCATCTGATTTTCAATTCTTTGATTTTCCGCACAGAGTTACATTCAAGTTTCAGAAAAAACTTTAAAATGTAAATTGAGAAATATTTTAGAAAAATGTGCTTTTATTCATTTGAATTGATTAAATAAGAAATTAAAAATGAATGCCAAGTCTTGCATTTCCAATAATAACGATAAATGTGTATGTTCCAGGCAATAGTTTAAAATATTTGTGAAACTTATCGTTTTGCGCTAAAATACAACAATGTGTGCAAAATTCGTTGTCATTGTTTCTGTTTTGAATACCATATTCGTGCCTGTCGGTGGAAAAAATTCAAATTTGCATTTATTTTTAAGAAAACATATAAATTAAATATATTTCTTTCCAAAGCGACATACGGACAAGTAAGGTGATAAATTTGTATGATGAATAACGCGGAAAATCTTATGCATCAAAATTTCTATTCTAATTTGCATTTGAATTATATCAACAGGGATGCTTTGGGACGTATTTTTTGAAGACAATTTTCTTATAAATCTTGAGATTGTTGATTTATTTTAGAATTAAAAAAGGTAGTTTATATTAAAAAACATATTTAGACTAGCAGTATGTAAATTACTTTTATTACGAATTGAAACGATTTTAATGAATATTCATGGTTACCTTTAATAGTAGTATGACAGTTAGATCTAAGTGCATATTTGACAAGAAAGATAGAATACAAGATTGTGCCGTCCTGGCTTGATGACCTATCTGTACAAAAAGTAATCAAAGTCGAATTGGATGTTGAAAGAAAATGTGACAACAGCAAATTTTCTTAAAAATAAATTTTTCGATAAGGAACGTGTTTTAATTGTGCTAATTTCTAATAGCCTTATTCATAAACAATAAAGTAGCTTAAAAAAAAGGTTTATAGATTGAAAAATGTTTGCAAACGGCAATTTAAAAAGCCTTTTATAGGCTGCGTTTCTTTATACATTCCGGATAATCCCATTTCACAGCCGGAATAAACAGAATGCGTTTGAAATATACGTTAACATATGATCAGGAACGTTCTAGAGAATAAGTAAACAAAAAAGTTTATTCCAAACGTTCAGAATGAATAAAGAAATGCAGCCATAATTTTTATTTTTATGAATGAGGCGATAAAAATATATGATTTAAAATAGTTTTTAACAAGGAAAACACGAAAAAAGGTGACTTTCGCGGAAGTAGGTATTAGTGAATTGCAGTGCATTTAAAGTTTCTGAGGTTTCGTTTACTTTTATACTATGTCTCCATTGTGAGATTTAATGAAGATTTAGCCCTCTGACGAAATTTGACGTTAAATCTTTCAAGATTTATCATATAAAATTAAATCTCGAAAGGCAGTAGATTTAAGTTAAATCTTCGTCAAATCTTCAATAATATTGATCAATAAGTACAATTTGTTGGATGTGGCAACCACAAATTCACATGCCATAAGTCAAATGACATTTGTGTTTTCAATATACAGTTGAGGACATTGAAATCTAGCCTATCATAAAAACATGAATTTTCGTATTTTTAGGGATTTTTATATTTTTTTGTTAGTTTGGGAGGAAAATTAGTAACCCATATTTACATAACTTTGGTTGTAATAAATTAAGAAAATATTATTTTAAAAACTAAAAATTTAGTAGAAATGTTTTATAGTAATATCATGCAGAGTCTTCTCCGCTTTCTATAAGTCATTTACGCGCTGCGACAAAAAATTTATAAATTTCGGTAATGGTTCTGCTTCGATAACATTGCACCGAACATCCTCTAGAACTCAGTTCGTATTCATGATATGCCAAAGGCCCACGATTGGATTTTCGGTTCCCTCCTATGAATAAGAGAGTTCTACAAAAATTTTTCCTTCCGCAAATGTTTTTTACCGTTTTGATAATTTTTCTTAAATTCGGGAAAATGATTCGGAATATGGTACTATTCTTTACACTTTCCAAACTATATATTATACATACATATTTACCACGAATAAGAAGCCAATAATATTCAGAATTCATATAATGAAATTCCGCTTGGTACCTTCCTTTTATCTGTCTGTATATCAATGTCCGCAACTGTATTTGTAAAATCATACATAAGCAAACGTCAAATATTTAAAAATGTGAACGTCAAACATATCTCGTAATGGTAATGGTGACGGTTGTGATTTAGCAACTGGATTTATTAAATCTTAATTAATTAATCTCTCAATGGAGACATATTATTAGATCAGAATTGTCAAAATTGAAAAATTCAAAGTAGCAGTACGATAATCATAGAAAAGGAGATTGTGTCCTGAATGTGTATCTTTTTTGGTTTCGGTTTGACAGCCAACTGCTCTGATGATGTGGAAATTTACCAAAATGAAGAAAAATATAAATATTAAGTGAAAAATTTTGATTTTTACGAATTTAGCTACTGCTCGCTGCGTTTCACGAATGATATTTCGGGCAAATCGTTAATGAACAACTATTTTTCCTTCCCGTCTGCTTTGAAGACAATCGTTCCCCAATGTGTATCAGTCTGCTATTTATGATACGTGGGCAGTCACATAGCATATGCTCTGAGGTTTCTTCCACTAGCTCACAAAAGGCTAGGGACCATGCAAGTGCATTTGGGCTCCACGCTTTGCGAGACAGTCAGCTTTCGTTGCCTTCAAACCCTTCATGTCCCGGAACCCACCTCAACGTTACGTTATTGTGAGCTTCCAAGTGGTCCGCAAATCTGCTGCCTTTTTAAAAGAGTCTAAGGCCTTTAACCTGCCTTACTATCCGACATAATATTTAATTTGGCCCCATTTGTCCTTCCGCACAGGCTTCGATTGCGAAGACCAGACTTTCTGGAATTTTGGTCAAAATACGCCTGCACCATTACTCTCGTTATCCATTTTTGATCCGTCGGTATACCATGCTTGGCACCTTTCTTCAATCATAGTTACTATCACCTCACAGCAGTACCTTTCAGGAATTCTGACCTTGTAGGGTTTGTAGAAGGATAACTCGATATTAGCCAAGAATGGCTTTAGAAAGACCAATAAGGTTAGTTTTGGTGATATTCTTCAAGGCTTACAATGAAGTCTCTGTCAGGTGGACAATGGTGGACTATTCGCGTAAACAAGGTTGCTAAAATGTCTGGAGATACATATTTTATATTTTTCGCAAATAACTATTATTGTCGCGGAAAATAGAAAAAAACCTACCAGTTTTGGTAGGAAAAGCTCATGTTTGGCAACACTGAACACAACAGCACTGGGCATGAATCACGTATGACGACAATCGTGCTGAGATTTTCTTGTTTCATGAAAACCAAAAATTGTTCGATCGTTTGTGCGATATCGTCCACTCAATTCCAGTTTTTCTTAACGTAACAGTAACAGTACCACGTAACAGCAAAATAAAGGCATGAATCAGTGCAAGGCGTATTTAACAAGGTGGTGTTGGCCGTATATAAGTAAAAAATTACACTAACAAATTATACGCTGATGTCCATACTGTCATTGGTATGAGTTACAACAAACACATCGTTTTGACGTAATGGCCTCCACGGCGAAAAACTCAGCTGTCGCCCCAACACCACCTTGTTTAATACACCTTGAATCAGTGTTTTGACGACATCGTTTTGTCAGTATCGTTTGGACGACAATCGTTTCAAAGTTACGTGATTCATGCCCAGTAAAACATTGCAGCGAGAGCGTAAAACAAAATAGAGCGTAAAATTTAGAAGAGAAAACTAGCAGAAAAAGTTATTGAACACAAAACTAGCAAAAACTTGCAAGTGAACAGTTGTTTCACTGTTTTGACATTCTGCTGCAAACATTTTACTAAAAATGTAAATGAGCACAAAGTAAAATTCTTTGCGGATGATGCCTTGGTATCGATCAGTGATACGGAACTACCAAATGCGGTTGTCAAAATGCAAGGAGATCTTAATTCTTGGTATCCATGATAAAAATAGTTGCGTTCCCCAACTTTTCTGGGATAAAACCTGTAAAACTATCAAAAAGCAAAGGATGCCAGAGAACCGAGTACGGGATCGCTTTCTGGTAAATTCCTGTAAATTCGTGCAACTTCTTGCGAGTCTTTCATTTCGTCGAAACTCAACACGCATAGCTTCTGTGCCTCGTTCATGTGGGTAGCGGCGGCCAATAACCGGAAGACTGGGGTTATAAGTCCGCGCGAAATGTCCAGTTTTCGTGCCCAACTTTGAAGTGTTCGGACCGATGGGAGTGGAAGGCTTTGCTTTTATAGCAACCTGTATGCTTTAGGACTGGCAGCATACAACGATATTGACTTCGCAATATCCTCTTCCGCCCATTTTCGTCGCTTCGACCCAGACTTCAGCTTCGCTATCTGCCCTTTGGTAAAGGTGGAAGCTAGTGCATCTTCCACATTTTTCATTTCGGCAGCCATTTCATCCAAACGTTTTTGCAGTGACTCCATTTTCCATGCGTGTCTCTTCAATTGCAGGTCGGACTCCCGCTTCAATGTAGCGAGCTCGGTGCACTGCTTTTCGTTATCCTTTTTGAGGTGTGCATTTTCGCGCTTGAATGTCTCACTTCAAATAAGAGAAATATAAGATATTATTACCTTTACACATAAAGATCTGTTACTTATTAACGTACACTTCCACTTTCAACACTTCCACTTCCTGAAGATCACTATCATAGTAAACACAGTTACGGATAGGTGACGTCGAAGCATCAGCAGTACCGCGTCTGGGCCGATATTCTTTATTTAAACCAACTAATAAACCTCTGGTATTAATAATATAATATTTATAGTATAATATTTGCTACCTTCGCAATTTTGTAGCTCAATGATCTCCTCAACGCTGTCATTTTGTGACTCACACACCGGAGCAGGATCTATTTCCCACTCAAAAATGGTTGGCATGGCGTCGCGGCGAAGCGACGGTCGACTAGCAGTTCCTAAGACTTTTATTAGATATCGACATATATAAGTAATGAAAATAAATTATATTTACTCATGTAATCCTTATCCGTAAAGTGCTTCATGCATGTATGGCTTCTCCTGCCGGCAGAACTCTACCCACTTTCTGGCCAAGGCGTCGTCGCGGGGAAACAAAAAAAAACTGCATTTGGGGCCTTTACCCCTACGGCTGCTGCAATTCAACACACGGCACGACATTTTTATAAAGTTTTTATTACAAATACAACGTTTTTTACATCAGAACGCACGAATTACTTCTATTTTTCACTTGAAAATACACAATACGTTTGCAATACGTTTGCACTTGTTTATAAACAAAAAGTTTGTTTACGTATTGCCATAAACGTCAAAGTCGGCAAAACCAAAGTAGCGGTTTCGGGAATGCGCCACCTTCAGTTCATTACACCATTGGGGTGTTCACAGTTCGTTCCAAATAGTGTCTCAAAATGTAGACGTCTACATTTTGAGACATCTTTAGCATCAAACTGTGAGCACCCCTTTCTATCAGTCGTCGCAAAATCGTCTCAAAACTTTGCTGGTGTTGCTAGACATTACTTCTTTGCGTGCTTTTTTATATGTCGCCTTTCGATTTTGTTTCTGAAAAATTGTAATTATTTAACTTAATTACCAATTCCTAATATTTGTTATTTCTTTTCCTTGATTTGTTTCTTTTCATCAGAAATTGCGCTCAAATTAAATGCAAATACAGAAAACGTGCCCAATAAATAAAAAAAATGCGATTAGTATTGCCATAATGCAACCCTGCTGCGCTTGAAAGTACTGTGATACATCGCTATTAAGCCAAACAGAGGAGTCGTGTGTTGAACCAGGGTACTTCGCGTTAATGTACCTTATGCAGCGTTTTTGCTGCATTTAAAATGCAACATTTAGCACTCTCGAACATATGTTTTCGAAGAGCGTTCATGCTATCGCATTTAGCAAATGTACATTTACGCGAGTTCGAAATCGTATGCTTTTGACAAACAGCCGTGTTCCAGTCGCTTATTCAGATCCGTATCTATTACGATAAATTCTCACGCAAAAGATAATGTGCAAAAACCCCTACTGAAAAGGAAAAAAAAATTCTAAACCGAAAATTCAATACAAAAACTTGAATTGTTTTAACCATAACCGAACACTTGTTTGTGTATACATTCATTTGTCGGCGCTGTCAGTTATAATTTCCACACTTCATTAGGAAACAAAACAAACAGAGTTGATCACAAATTAATCCAGATTTCTATCAGCATCATATCGATGTTGAATTTGAGTAACTTTTCTTTATCCAAATAATGTAAAATAATAAATGAAATCTCGATCGGCGATCACTGAAACGCAGCTAGCGACTGTATACTCGAAAAAGCAATGTTGCCACTTTTTCTCATTAAACCATGTTCGAATCGTGGAAATTTTGGAAGATCACAGGGTTGCTTTTAGCATTTAGATTCTAAATGCAAAAATGGAGTTGCATTTAGGTGACGAATTTTGTATGGATAAATGTACATTTAGAGTAGCATTTAGAGCTAAATGCGCTAAATGTGCTTTTACGCGTAAGCAAAAACAGCCCATTATGCGCTGTTTGGGATCACAGATCTTAAAACTTGTAAAATAAAAACTAAACAAAATTCGTATAAACAGAGTTTTTCTACTTACAACCAGCACATTGAGACTATAGAAACCTTTCCTATTGCAAAAAAGATGGGAATTCGCTCCCGAAGGCTTTGCTATCCTAATGTGCGTCCCATCAATACACATGACAATGCCAGGAATTTTTGATTTGTTGAAAAAGGAACTCCTGGACTCCATTTGTTCATCTTCATTCATTTTTAGTGTAATCCTGTTTGGACACAATTCGGTTTAAATAACATCTAGAACTTGAGAAAATATTTTTGGGACTGTTGGTTGGGCTATTCCAACCATGTAGTCCTTGCCAACTCCATTTTGGTAACTTCCTTCAGCTAACAATCTTAGGCAAACAGATAGTTTTTGTTGATGACTTATTGCTGTGGATTTAATCACTGGCGGCATTTTATTACAGATTATCCTTAAAACGTGTTTATATGCCACTTTGTTCAGGCGAAATTGCTTAATGAACCTGTTGAATCAAAAATACATATTGCCGTACATGTATTATTAAAATAAATACAACGTTAATACAAGAAGATTTAACTTACTCCACATCAGGCAGCTCGAAAATGTTAGCTGCTCTATCCCTCACAGATCGTCTAATGTTTGCTGCGATACTTCCCGTTTCGTCATTAAAATTCAAATAAAAGGCTATTATATCCATTTTTCCGAAATTTCTTTGTTGAAATTATAAATTAAACGCAACTAACAACAACGAACTGTCAGAACAAACTTTTGACACATTCCACTAGGTGAGTCGATAAAGAAGTCATCCGACGGATATCGTAATAGAGAAAAATTTTACGAGTGAATCGAGTGCGGATCGGATTAGATTCGCGCGAATAGCATTCGTCGGTTACCGGAATAGGCATAAATATTTTATGTATATTGCCCGTCTCCACAGGATAAAGTTTATATCTTGATACATATGTTAGAATATAAATAGCCAATGAAGACCGTTCATTCTCTTCAAGAGCAATATATATCAGAGTTTATATCTTGCCATCTATTGCCGGAAATTTCGTAGTTTGACAGCCACATTTTCATTTGCATGAAAACTTCGTGGTTGCAACATCATTATTATTTTAATATAAAAACAAAAATTTAGCTGTTTCATGTTAAAATATTTGTAATTATGTATTTGGATGTAAAATAGCCTATTTTCTAAATTTTTTAAGCGATTAAATACGGCAAAAATACGTTTTCTAAGCTATCTTACAAATGCTTATATCAAGATATAAAAAGCCCACGCAAATATTGCCACTGATATAACTTATATCTAGGACCAAAATGACAGCTGGGTAGCAATAAATTTTATCCTGTGGAGACGGCCAGCAATGTCTGGTTAACAATAATCTCCGGTTAAACATAGTTGGAAAGGACTAGTTTCCAAGCCGCCTTTTATAAACTTCTCTACCGGCAGGGGATCTGAATGGACGAAATCCAGAGTCGCGCTATTTGATCGGACGGAAAGGATTAGTTTCCATGCCGACCTTCTTATTTTATACATTATGGGTGATCTGAATGGACTAGCTCCAGAGTCATCCAGCTAGTACGGATGGAAAGGACTAGTTTCCGGACCTGTCTATCTAATAGCCAATGTCCTACAGTGATCAAGTAGCAGCCTTTTGAAGGTACCAACGCTTTCACAATTTTTTATTTGAGCTGGAAGTTCATTGTAACATTTTAATCCCTTATAAAAGATATTCTTCTTATCTATTTCCGTTTTATACAGCGGCAGCCTGAAGCTATTATTTCCCCAGAGTAAATACGAAAGGGTTTCACTATTTGGACTGGCGGTCTTAGATTCCTGGTGGTAGCTGCGGATGGGGTGGC